GGCGGGGGGTATTTACATAATTATCAGTCATTTCAAATTCTTTGCTGGAAATGTATTTCTTTTTTTTTTTTTTTTTTTTTTTTTTTTTTTTTCAAATTTATATGTCTTTATTTTTTTTTTTTTTTTTTTTTTTTTTTTTTTTTTTTTAAATTTATTTATTGAATCACTGTGGGAAAGGTTACAAAGCTTTCAGGTTTATGTCTCAGTCATGCAAATATCAAACACAGGAAATGTATTTCTGTGTCCACTTACTTTACATAGTTGATTTTAGGATGTAAACATTTGTGAAAAATATCTATATTCAGAAAGTGGAGAAAGGAGAAGCAGGGTAGACCTTACCAGATATACTGGCCATAAAGTATAACAGTGGGCCACATTTTATAAAAATTCCAGAACAAAGACTACATTCAAAAGGTAATCTTTTGCTCTCCCCTCTGGAAAGAAAGATGGCGGCTGCATGGGAGCCTTGTGGAGAGCAGGTATGAGTCGGGGGTGAGGGGGCCACTAAAACCTCATAGGAAGGGGGGCGTTCTGGCCTGTCCTTCACGCCCTGCCGAGGTCATCAGTTGCCCCCCACGAGCGGCTCTCCGGCACGGCCATGACTCCAGAGCACAGAAACAAATCTCTTAATTATCTGACTCTCAGTAGAAATACTTCCAGGGTTAATGAGTAAAATAGCAGAAATCCAAAATCGCGTGACCGCGATAGCGGCTACGCGACATCATTTAATTCTTGAACCCAGCTGTAGAAAGCAAATCATTTCACAATGCTTTTTCAGCATGTCTGATTTGGGGGTGGGGTAAACTCTAAATAATAATGGTGCATCTTTTATCGAAACAATGAATCTAGTCAAAGTAGATAGAGGGTTAACTAGAACTCATCTGCCTCACAGGCATTGGGCGGGGTGGGGGGGTGGGGGTTTATTGGGGTTCTTCGTGGTGAAAAATAAGTATTGGTAAAGGGAAATGTGTTTGATATTTGCACGACCGAGACCTAAACCTGAAAGCTTTGTAACTTTTCCCACAGTGATTCAATAAATAAATAAATAAATAATATAAAAAAAAGGTAATCTTTCAGATTTGAAGAAAACTTTATGGACAGGCAACAGCTTAGGAAATTCATAGCCTTGAACCAGTTTTCCAAGAAACAGAAAAAGAGTTCCTTTAAAAGACAGGAGAAACTTCAATCCCATGGCATTGAGTATGGCACTCACTAATGATGCATTTGGTTGTCCTCTACTAGATTAAGAAAGGTTAAAAACATGTAGCATTTAATCATCACTAATTCACAACGGCCAGGATCCAGAGATCATCACACTCAGCTCCTGGGAGAGAACAAGACAGAGTCTCCTACCCTATGCCTGACTGTCTCCACCAGGGCCCAACAGCTGAAGACCACCGAGGCCCAGCCAAGGCCTTGCTGAGAGCACTCTCCACACACTTGGATGAGCCTCACGCATAAAAGAACTGACAGAGGATCCCAGGTGTGTGGGACCCGGGGCTGAGATCTCCAAGCCTGTACAGTTTGGGACTGGACCTGCCAGTAACTAGACAGTTACACCCACCAACTGCCGTGTAACTCCAACAACGGCCAGGATCCAGAGATCATCACACTCAGCTCCTGGGAGAGAACAAGACAGAGTCTCCTACCCTATGCCTGACTGTCTCCACCAGGGCCCAACAGCTGAAGACCACCGAGGCCCAGCCAAGGCCTTGCTGAGAGCACTCTCCACACACTTAGATGAGCCTCACGCATAAAAGAACTGACAGAGGATCCCAGGTGTGTGGGACCCGGGGCTGAGATCTCCAAGCCTGTACAGTTTGGGACTGGACCTGCCAGTAACTAGACAGTTACACCCACCAACTGCCGTGTAACTCCAACAACGGCCAGGATCCAGAGATCATCACACTCAGCTCCTGGAAGCGCGCGGCCGGTCAAACTGGCAGGCTACCAAATGTAACATGCCCACACGGCAGAGTCTGGCAAACTCCCCGTGGTATACCCAATATGCCAAATACCAGTAACAATGATGGGTCTCATTCTCCTAACCCTGAAAAAGCCTTGAATATGGCACTTTAAAAAAAAAAAAATCTCAGGGCTAGGACGAAGAAGACGTTACTGGCACCTGCTCGAGGCAATCGACGAACAACAGGGTGGTCGTGATCGTGATCGTGAATTCACTTTTATTGCTTTATTTTCAGATAATTCCATTTGCTATTCCCTTAAGTTTTTTTGAACCAAACAATATGAAATAAATTTGTTACATGCCTGCCAAGGGGGAAAGCTTGGGGGTGAGAGGGAATCTGGGGATAGTAGTGGAGGGAAGGGGATATTAGTGGAGAAGGGGATATTGGTGGTGGGATTGGTGTTGGAACACTGTATGCCTGAACAACCTTGTAAATCACACAATTAACATTACTGAAAAAAATTTAGAAATAAACTGTTGCTATGTTGAATAAAAAAGGTGATACTCATGGACTAGAGAGAACATCCTCCGCACGGAAAAGCCTTCTCTGGACCCCAGCACCACATGGTTCCAAGCACTGCTGGGAGCGACCCCCCAAACACTGAGTAGGAAGTAGTCCCCAAGTGTTGCTGAGTATGCTCCAAAAAAGTCATTTTCAGATATTATAAAACTCAAAATAGAACTGAATTGGCCTGAGGGTTCCTTTTTGTTGTTTGTTATTAAAGCAGAAAAATACCAAAAATTATTTCATATTTAAACCTATGAGTCAATTTAACTATCACAATTAAAAAGCCTCTTTTTTTTTCCTTTATGGGTCACATCCAGTGGTGCAAAGGGATTACTCCTGGCTCTGCACTCAGGAATTACCCCTGGCGGTGCTCAGGGGACCATATGGAATGTTGGGAATCGAACCTGTGTCGGTCACGTGCAAGGCAAATGCCCTACCTGCTGTGCTATTGCTCCAGCCCCTTAAAAAGCCTCTTTCACTTTTTTTTTTAAAAAAGAAATTGGTACCCAAAACCAGTTTTTTATGAATTAAAAACAGGAAACATTGCTCAACGATAGGGAGTATGCCTCACACATTAGAGACCCTGGGTTTAATCCCTGGAACTATGAAAATAACTGTATAAAGTAAAAATCTATGTGAAAGAATAACAAATAGTTCAGAAATTGTTTCTGAAAATAAACTGTGAGACTAGCCCTGATGGAATTCAGTGCTATACTGGATACACTCAGTGAAGTAACAGACAGAGCTGAGGGTTCTAAGTTTTTAAGTTTTCCGTGCAGAGGGGCCTTATGGCATGTGCCTTTAGTCATTAAGATAACCTCAGGTTAGACTTGTAATACAGTGCTATCCTCGGTTAATAAAAAAAGTGAAGTAATGAGATGTAGTAATATCTCTCATAATCACTTCTGAATATGCTACACCATCTGGAAACTTTGACCATTGCTTCCAGGATTATTCTGAACCTGAATATCCATAACATCCTGGGAATAGAGTCGAAAGGCCTGAGGGTACTCTGAACCTCATCTTTGCCAGGACCATGTTAGATAGGATATATTGTGACCTGTGATTTCTGGGGCTCTCTTTCAGATAGAAAATTTAATTCAGCCACACTAACATAAACTCTACCTTAGGAATGGAAGATTTTCTGCATTGTCAGAACTATCAGTATAGGGAGAAAAAGGTAAGTATAAAAGTCAGTATGCTTATAGATTTGCTACCTAAGATCATTCCCTACCTTCATACCAAAAAATTATTCTTCTTATATTTTCTATTTGCATGTCATATTATAGCCTACTGCTTAATATTCCATGTATATTTCCAATAAAACATTTTAAAATTTGACTCTGAAAGGTGTCTACTGTTATCTCTTAAAAATCTAGCAAGAGATCAGAGAGATAGAACAGTGAGTAAAGTATTTGCCTTGCATATGGCCAACTCCAGTTAAATTCCCAGTACCCTATCACTGTCAGTCCCATTGTTCATCGATTTGCTGGAGCGGGCCCTGTAACATTGTAAGACTTGCTGTTACTGTGTTTGGCATATCGAATACGTCATGGGTAGCTTGCCAGGCTTTGCTGTGCGGGTGAGATATTCTCGGTATCTTGCCAGGCTCTCCGAGAGGGGTGGAGGAATCAAACTTGGGTCGGCCAGGTCGGCCGCGTGCAAGGCAAGCACCCTATCTGCTGTGCTATCGCTCCAGCCCCCAATACCATATATAGTTCCTCAAATCTTGCCAGGAGTGATCCCTGAGCAAAGAACCAGGGATAAGCCCTGACAACCACCAGATATGTTCCAACAGTCAAAAGAAAAAAGAAGAACAAACAGGGGCCAGTGAGACAGCACAAAGATTGTCTAACATGTTGCTGTGGCCCAAACCAGGTTTGAATCTCAGTAATACATATGGTTCCACGAGCACTCTCAGGTGTAGCCAAAAAATAAATAAATACAAAATGTGCAAAGAACTAGCGTTACACAAATCAGTCAAAGAATAAAGGATGGAGAAAAAAGGCATAGCATGCTAACATTAATCAAGGATAATTGAGCTGAAGTAGCTATCCCAACCTCAGAAAAGGGAGAGTTCAGAGAAAAGATCATTATTGGTCAGAAAGACAATCACTCAATAAAGGTAAAGGTAAAGGCCCTCCCGTTGATCGTCGATTTGCTCGAGCGGGCCCAGTAACGTCTCCATTGGAGACTTTGTTGTTACTGTGTCTGGCATATCGAATACTCTCGGTAGCTTGCCGGGCTCTCACTCAATAATAAAAAAAAAAAGGGTGATTCATTACAAGGACACAGCAATACCGGTGAACCTAAAAACAGGGTTCAACACACCTGAAGCAAAAGTTAACTGAACTGAATGGAGGCAGGGGCAGGGGCTGAGTGGAGGAAGGGGGACAGGAAATACAATCCTTTAGCTTAAGCTACAGTTTGCTGGATTAGATTACATCTGTGAACATTTGTTAGCATTTATTTTCTGAGTCAGTAGTATGTATACCAATACAAACAGATTCATCAGAGTTACATTACCTTCTCATTAACTGCCAAACCAAGGCCAAGGTTAGAGTGCGGTTTCCTTCATTGAGATCTTGTCCACCAATTCCAACCAGGGAAAACTTCGCTTGGTTCTTCCCCAGTTCAACTGCATAGTTACAATTCTCAAGCTGTTAATAATCAGGAAGGAAAGCGATATAAATATCTACATAATATCTTCTCGATGTTGAGAAAGATCAGTTAATAGTCACTGTCACTGTCACTGTTCTCCCGTTGTTCATCAATTTGCTCGAGCAGGCCCAGTAACGTCTCCATTGTGAGACTTGTTACTGTGTTTGGCATATCGAACACGTCATGAGTAGCTTGCCAGGCTTTGTCATGCGGGTGAGAAACTCTCGGTAGCTCGCCAGGCTCTCCGAGTGGGGCGGAGGACTTGAACCCAGGTCAGCCAGGTCAGCTGAGTGCAAGGCAAACGTACTACCTGCTGTGCTATCGCTCCGGCCCCAGATAATAATAAATAATAAAAATAAAGATACAGGGCTGAGAGATGGTTCAAAGGGCCAAAGTGCATGCTTTGCTTGTGGGCACGCTGGACTGGATCCCTGCCACCATAGGAGTCCTCAGCACTGCCAACTGCAGCCCCCAAACCAAAAAACACAAAAATGCAAGATGAAATGTGGCCGGAATGTATGATTGCCCATCTGATTTTGCAATCCTAAGCTTCTAAATTAGTGAAATAATTTTTCATTTATTTTTAAATGGAACCTTTCACTTTATCTTATTTAAAAAATTTTAGTCGCTGTGAAATTAGAAATTGTTCATGATTGGGTTTCAGGCATATAGTGTTTCAACACTGATTCCTTCATCAGTGTCCACTTCCCTCTACCAATGCCCCATCCTACTCTTTTACTTTTCCACCACCAGCCTGCTTCTATAAGAGGCTCATATATTCGTACATATGTGTGTGTTTGTATTGTTATATGTATTGTTGTATGTTATATATATATATATATGGTTTTGCACTGTGGTTTACAGTACTGTTGCTGCTAGGAGAATCTTGCATTTTAGCATCCCTGACCCCCTATCAAAATTCATAAGTACTTTAAGTGCAAAGCCAGAATGAATTCATTACCATAAATATTTGTTGCTGTAACACACTACATAAATAACTATGTTAGGATACTGGTCCATAATATACTCAAATAGATCATTTGTGGAGCAGTCTAGACATGAGAAATCTATGTTCTCCATTCTATCTGCCCACAGTGGACTGACATGTGGGACAGAGACTCCCATGGCTATGCAGGGATCATTCAAGAGTCACAGAAATGAGATATCATGAGGCATATTTGCACCAACCCCTCTGCTGTTCTCATAACACCACACGTTCCCCTGCTGTGCTGACAGGAGACAGACTATTTGTACAAGTCCACCATTGGCACAGAGCTCCATGTCTTGAGAAAATAAGAATAAGAATCCTGCTGGGGGTGGAGGGAGACAGGGTGTAACCCTGCAGCTCCGCTTGCTCTAATGATCTTAATTAGAATTTTTACATCATAATGTCTGAAGACACCCAACATGGAATTATAAATAAGTAATCAACTGAAATAATGGGCTTACTTTAATAAAACTGTTTAGGTTTCCAACTGCTGTACTATAATTTAATCTCTGGATGCAAATCATTCATCTCATTTTGGCCCCCTGCTAGTGTTCACCGAGTGAAGGCAGCCTGGAGACTGCATCTGCTTACTGAAACAGCGGAGGAGTCATTGTTTACCTTCTTCATGTTGCCCCCCAGTTTGGGGTACGGTGGTTTGTTTACTCTGTTCCAGTCAACGGGGACTTTAATCTTTTCATAGAGCTGGAAGATGACCAGGGCGTCGGACAAATCACTGCACAGAAACAGACAGAAAGAAATTCTCAGAAAGTCAATATGAATAGAGTGCCTACTGTGGGCAAGGCATATCCTTCCATACTAGCTCATGGAACATTCGAAGCCACCTGGCCAAACTGCTGTGAGTTACAGGTGAACCTACTGATCCAGAAACTAGGAGAACTTATGGTTGCTCTTCTGCCCGCCTACCCAAAGTGTGACTTCCATTGGCCAAAATGTGCTTCTGCCAGGGAACCAAATCTGGCTTGGTGCTACCTAAAACAGGAATCCTTTTGCTTATAAGTGGGATCATTAGTTATAGATGCAGTAGGTCTATTCTTTACTGGGGCCTAGGGTTTGTGCTGAGCACATGACAAAGCTATCAGAGGGAAGTGGGTTTCTTGGTGGAACACTCAGCATCTGCGGCTCTGTTTGTCATGTTCCTCTTTCCACATGCTGAGAGAGGATTGCAGACAGCAGGGCTTGCTACCTTGGCAATTCTTCTGGGTCTCGGGGGTCTCACACTAAGGATAAGTCACCAAATAGCATTACCTGTACAAATGATTGACCCGAGGATTAACGCCTAAGGAGTTCATCCAGTTCCTAAATGTCCGTTCTTCTCTCGTCTCACCTACATCAATAAAAACTAGTTATCTTTCATGATCCTAAAAAATTTCCCCCTATTTATAAGCAAACTTTGACTAAAGAGTCTTAAATGAAAGATGAAAAAATAATTTGAGACTTTACTGGATTCCAATGAGTGCTCCTAATCTGTGTTCACTCATCCCCCCCCCCCCCCCCCGCCATATTAATTCAACGGGTATTTCTATGGCATTTATCAGTTGTGTGCAGAACCCTGGGTGGGAAAACTAGTTTCAAGCCATATGTCAGAAGTTTATATTCTTTCTAACTTTCAAGCATTAAAGAGAGATCTTACACATCTCAATAGAGGGAAGATATAGTCGCTGTTTGAGTTGAGAGAGAGAAGAGAAGAGTATGTGCTTTGCAGGCTGTGGAATTTGAGTTTCACTTTATAGGGCTAGTAAAGTATGCATAACACGGAGGAAAGGAAAAAAGATAGGAGACTAGTAAGGGCTGGAAGAAGGAGTAACACAAACACGCATGCACACATAGGTGTGCCTGTATTTAAACCGTTTTGGAATGGAGCTTCAAAGAATCTTCATTGGACAGAGCATGGATATAGGGTGACTTAAGTGACAAACCAAATTAGAGGGATCTGAAAACCAAGTAGCAGATTTCAGTGAATATATTAGACGATTTTAGTGATGTTAGTCCTGAGTTTTTTTTATTGCTACAATAAATTCTTGGGCAAGGCAGAGAATGAAAGAACCATTGTGTCATGTCTGGCAGCAGTGTGCAGCTTTACTGGAAGGCAATATGAATTTAAATTAAACATGCAGGGGAGAGAGGACTTGACACTAGCACATGAGCATTCCCTGTGCTTGATGAATGTAGAAATGGGCCCCTAAGAGCCACTGAAATGCTGGTATGTGATTTAATAAGCATTTAGAAGAGTAGCAAGAAAAAAAAATCAACAATATAAAAGTCATTCTTCAGGGGAAATGATTATTATTTGATGAGTCAATAGATGTAGGGGTGAAGAAGAGGAAGATACCAAAGTGAAATTCAGGTCTTTTGTTTTCGTGACTGAAGAAAAATGGATTAATTTGATTAATGGAAATGGAGAATTTCTAAGGACTGTGGAGAGGATGGAGATGGGGCAGGTAGGGTAAAAAGGCAGCAGAGAGAGGAGAAACGATCAATTTTGTTTTGCATATGCTGAATCAAAAGTACAGCAAAGGACTCAAAGAGGGATATTGTAAAGGCATCTAGAAATGGATGATTAGGGGGCTTGATAAATATATTTGGTAGCCAATGAAATGCACATATCCCTGACCATGATTTATCAAATGATACTAATGCACTGGAACACGAATTGATTCTGCATTTCTAGTGAGAATAAAGCTGTGCAGAAAAAAAAAACCAATATTCTAAATCTTGATGACATTGCTTAGGTGGTATTCATTTAAAATTAGTTTTGCTTCGATTTTATTTTCAATATTGAACCAATTAATGATGGGGACATAGAAAACATCTCTGTTTCTAGTTAGAAATGAACTACAGATATACGCTTTCTGTTCAAACTTAGGGCATAAATCTTCAAAATATAATTTCTAGAGATTCTGCCTCAAATATGACTATGTGCCCCCAAAATTTAAATCAAAGGAAAGACAAAAGCAAAAAATTCAGTACACACCTAGCATAAGTTAAATATAATTTCAAAATGTTGAGTGGTGGAATTAACACTCAGTCCATTAAGTACATAAATTAGGTTTTTGTAACCCAGGATTTATTTCACTCAATAATTAAATGCACTGTCTTCTCTAAAACATTTAATTCTGATAATGGATGAAGTCTATGTATAATGGATGTGATATCATGGTATTTGATTATTTCTGTTGGGCGGTAATTGACTTGATTAATCTACTTATTCTCTGGTTGTGTTCTAGAGAATTGATGACCTGTTTGCAAATCTTTCTCCAATTGTGTAAAGGGTTTTGCTTAGGAGGTGATTCTAATCTGCCCTTGAAATAGAATGGTAAATGTGACCCCAGACTTCAAGCAACTGATTTCCAGCACCTTCAAGAGCTCCCCAGTCGATGTCCTGGTTCTCTGGTTTATGCAGGGCAGGATATTTGTTAAAGAGGTTGGCAATGAAAGCCAAGTTCAACTTGGGGTTTCCTCGAACAACATCTGTGGCTGTGACAAACTGCCGGCAGCCCAGCCTCTCCGCCTGCTGCAGCATGCATTCTGCCCTCTGGATGTCATCCTTCTCCTGCAATGAAAAAGGATTTCCAGAGGCTGGGGCACAGTCTTGCAGTACAAAGGAGGCAGGTGCCACAGGAAGAAGACACGGGATCTTAAGGAAACTTTCAGATACAGACTTACTCATAGCATATTAGTACTTGGTTACTACTGAGCCCAAATCAGGTGGTGGCAAGTTAAAAGGAACCTCCGAGGAGAGACAAGACAGTCCCCTCCTCTCCATAAAGCACTGCTGAGGTTGAATGGCTGCTGGCCGGCAGGACATTCTGCAATCTTACCATTTAAGTTGATCTTAATTGCTTCAGCAATGAAGTCGACTTTTCAAAACTATTTTTTAGCACAGACCTCGTGAGACTTTTGTCTGCTAAGCATGTTTATTTGTTAAGTCATAAATTGTACTTTTATTTCCTGCAAACTAGTGTTTCCTGCAAACCTTTCCCCTTTTGGTATACTTGCAACTCAAACAAAATGATTATGATCGGGTAAATGATCTATTGGCAAATGCAGAATAATATCAATTTGGCTTTTGTAGACTTTAGGCTGAGAGCCACTCACTTAACATTTTAGAGTGCATGAAAATAGTTTTAGAAACTCCCCAGAGATTTGTAAGCAGATTCTTATAAGAAGGCCAAAATTTTGTTAAAATAGGCTTCACTGTCCTGAAAATTCTTAAGAGTCCTGAAAATTCTTAAGGTGGAGGGATAGGTCAGTGGAATGAATACATGTTTTGCATGTGGGGGGCTCGGTTTGATTCCTGGCCCCACATGACTCCTGTGTACTACTGGTATTGATTACTGAGCACAGAGACAGGAGTAGCCCCATAGGTGTGGCTAAAAACAAAAACAAAAGACCCAGCAGTCTCTGAGGTCTCTAACTTCCAGAAGAGAGAAACTTCGACTGAAATTATATTTTTTGTTTGTTTTTGGACCACACCTGGTGGTTCCCTGGGTTTATTACTGGCTCTGCACTCAGGAATTATTCTTGTTGGTGTTTGGGGGACCATATGGGGTGCCAGTGAGCAAACTCAACTCAATGTCAACGGCATGCAAGGCAAATGCCATATTCACTGTACTATCACTCTTGCCCCTGAAAGTATTTCTTTTTTCTTTCTTTTTTTTCTTTTTTTTGGGGGGGTCACACCTGGTGAAGCACAGGGGCTAACTCCTGACTCTGCACTCAGGAATTACTCCTGGCAGTGCTCAGGGGAGCAGATGGGGTGCTGGGAATCGAACCCGGGTCGGCCGTGTGCAAGGCAAATGCCCTACCCACTGTGCTATCGCTCCAGCCCCCTGAAAGTATTTCTTAATGTACTAGGAAACATTATCATACATCTAATAAGAGCTTGACCTCTCATTTACCATTAAGAAAATTAAATAAGGCACAAAAATGGGCTAGGCGACTTCTCAGGCTTTATGGAACAGTGCTGTAAAGACAAGCTTTTATGCTCAAATGCTGTGCCCGCAACTCTCAGGGGCCTTCAAATCAGATCTTCTAAAGAATTCCCAGAGCCTTTCCTGTCTTTCCCTGTATCACAGTCAATGATGAAGCATTGTCACTGGTGAATTTTGGGTCTATCCTTGGAATAAATAACCTCCAATATCATACGATAGCACTGTAGCACTGTCCTCCCTTTGTTCATCGATTTGCTTGAGCGGGCACCAGTAATGTCTCCATCGTGAGACTTGTTGTTACTGTTTCTGGCATATTGAATATGTCATGGGGAGCTTGCCAGGCTCTGCCGTGCGGGAGGGATACTCTCTAAGGGGGATGGAGGGATGAACCCGGGTCAGTCACGTGCAATGCAAATACCCTACCCACTGTGCTATCGCGCCAGCCCGTATCATGCGATATATTTTTTAAATCATTAAGGTCACAATTTATTTATGTAAATGTCATTTGTACTTTCAGAAATAACAACTAGGCACCTACAGAAAAAAAATAAAAGAAGCAATAATAGCTTTGGGTGGTGCAGAGTCTATTAAATGATACACAGAAGTACCTAAGAGTACCTTAGAGCTTATTGTCAGATTCATTTTCCCACAATTATCACCGGAAACTACTAAGGATTGAAAGAGAACTCTCAGAGTTGGGGGGTGATTGGGAAAGGGAAGGGCGATTGCATTCTTACAAAACAGCTCAGGCAACACCTTACCCTCAGTCCTGACATGTCAATGACAACGGCAGGAATGCCTTCTTCATCACCTTTTGGAGCCACCTGCTCAAGCAGGTGGTAATAAGCCTTCGAGTCCTGGGGGAAATAACGAAATTGCAATTAGAACGGCATGCCTAATTACATACTGAGCATGACACTAATTTCTCAAAAGCAAACAGATTTTATTTCCTATTTGACTATCACTCACGAGTGCAACTTAATTAACAAAGCTAGAAACATCCCCTACTTTAAATTTTTTCATTTGCCTTTTTATCTAGTACATTTGTCTTTCTATTAGAAAAAAATGTTTAACAATTTAAAGAATGGGTCATATATCAAAGGAAACTCAAAGAACCAAATGCTATTCTGTTGACCTTTGGGGAAAATAATTTGTGTGTATTGTGTATATTGAACCATATACAGGAAAAACAAATACACCTTTATATTGTTCTAGAAGTCAATCAGCTACACTATGTTGAAAAAGAAAACAGAAAAAGGAAGCAGACGTTTAAAGCAAAGTCAACAAATACAACTGGACAGATAATCTGCAAAAAAAAAGATTTTAAAGACAAGAAGTGAGTGCACTAAAAATCAGCCTCTGAAAAAAGGATGGGCAATAGATGACAAAATGATTAATGTTTATCTAAAGACAGAAAAGGGTTCTGTTAAAGGAGAATATTGGATATGTTTAATTCTCCAACTTCAGAAATATACCTCCTGACAAAAAGGAATTCTACCAGCCAACATGGCTGACCCGAGTTCGATTCCTCCACCTCTCTCGGAGAGCCCAGCAAGCTACCGAGAGTATCTCGCCCGCACGGCAGAGCCTGGCAAGCTTCCCGTGACGTATTCGATATGCCAAACACAGTAACAACAAAGTCTCCAATGGAGACGTTACTGGGCCCGCTTGAGCAAATCGATGAACAACGGGAGGGCCTTTACCTTTACCTTTCATTCATTAAAGAATTTAATGTAATTAATTTTAGCAATTTAGAGGCATCTTAATTTATCTTCTACAGATTGCAAACTCAGGCAAGGTGTTGTTTTTTGCAGTTAGAGGGGCAGACGTACACTTGTCACATGGGACATTAGAAAGATGAGAACAAGAGATAACCAGTCCCCAGAAGCTCCATGAAAGGATTTACACAGCTTTTCTTTTTATGTTTTCCTCCTCAGTCTTTTCTCTATAGTTATTTTGGAGTCAGTGGAAGTTCCAAGCTGGTGGTGTTATGCAGCAATAAAATCTTGGCCCTTCATCTTTTCAGCTGAGGGTCACCATTCTATCTAGAGATATCCCCTCAGTGTGGTTGGGCTCCCTTCTCCACTGACGATCTGCGATGCCAGGACACCCCTCACTCCACTGTTCCCCAATTACTGGATGCTCAGTCTCACAGGGTATAGCCCTGACCTCAGCTGGGAGGTAGCTACCCTCTGAAAACAGCCACAATCAGTGCTCACCCATCAACCTGGAGTTCTCAGTGTGGACCGATGCACTGGCCTGGCCGAATGGTTATTATCCTCCAGAACAGTTGTGAAATTTGGGGAAGTAAGATAATTTTATGGCTAAGTTCAAGGAGCCCCATATGGACTGTAATGTGTGAAAAACATGGCTGAAACAACTATAGAACTTATGTTGTTAATAGGTTGTTCAGATTCTGTTAGATTCCGTTTGGGTTGGTGGTGTTAGAAGAATGCTTGAATCAAAGAAAGGCATGTGGTTAGCACAAGGAATTGGGTTTTACCAGCTCAAGACACGGTGCTGTTTGTGTGGCAGGGGTGTTGGGGGTAGTTGGGGTGCACTTTCAACCTATGAGGTTCATACTCACTGGTCAGCCCCTGCTGACCAAGCTCTGAAAGCCTCTGAGTGCAAAGCAAGAGGAAGCTGTCACACTAGAGTTAGAAGCCTGGGCCAACTCTTGGTGACTCTTTCTCTTTGGAGAAAATGTCTTGAATTTTTGAGCAAGCAGGGACTGAAAAGTTTTTCTCGAGCTGCACCCAAGCGTATCACACCATTTACTATTAGGAACTGCTCTCCAACATTCTTCCTTGCACCTGAGGAATTTTCTTTCTTGGCTATCCATCGTCAATGTCAACAGCTATTTCTTTCACTTTGTAGCTTTTCAGAGACCTGGAAGCCCTCTGGACATATGTTGTAAGATAGATGTCATCTTCCCTGGGCTCTGGGTAAATTCTCATCGCAGAGGGTTTCCAGAAAAAAATTTTTTAAAACCACTCTGAATTTTCAACAAATTAAACAAGTTGTTTTAGAGAGGCAGTATGAACACGGGAGTGAAGTACACATAGCACGGAGACTGTCTGTTGAATTCGAACCCTGATTCCATTGCCCGACTATGTGAACTTGAACAAGTTTATTAAAATTCTCTCAGTTTTGAGAACAAAAGGGAATGCCCTGCCACAGAGGCAGGAGGGGATGAGGGGGGTGGGGGGTGGGAGGGATACTGAGACCCGTGGTGGTGGAAAATGGGCACTGGTGGAGGGATGGGTACTGGATCGTTTTATAACCGAAACCCAAGCACAAAAATTTGTAAGTCTGTAACTGTACCTCATGGTGTTTCAATAATAAAAAAAATTCTCTCAGTTTTTTTTTATATCTGTGAAGTGAAGAAATAATCATTCTTGTTTCATAGGTTTGTTATGAGGGTAAAATGAGCCAAAATACGTAAACAGCAGTGAGAATAGTGTGGCATGCATTTGGGATCCAGCTTGCTACTTATTAGAAAAGGAAGAATATTCCTCATTTACTTTTTATTTATTTATTTATTTTGCTTTTTGGTGATGCACAGGGGTTACTCCCGGCTCTGCACTCAGGAATCACCCCTGGCGGTGCTCAGGGGACCATATGGGATGCTGGGAATCGAACCTGAGTTGTCTGCATAGCAAGGCAAACGTCCTACCCACTGTTCTATTGCTCCAGTCCCCTCATTTACTTTTTAATTTTAATTATTTGGGGGTGGGTGGGATCTGGCTGTTCTAAGGGCTTACTCGGGTCTCTGTGCTCAGGGATCACTTCCGCAGTACTCAGAAGATCATATGAGGTGATGGGGGTGGAATTGGGGTAAGCCGCATGCAAGGGAAGCACTTTATTCTCTGTCCTATCTCTCCAGCTCTGTGGTTTAAATTTTAAAAAAAGAAACTGCCTGATGTTCACGCTGATGAAAGATGAAACACAAGCAGCCGTACATGTTCTCTCTTTATTTAAAAGCAGGGCAGCTCTTCTCCCTCCTCTCTCACCTGCTTCTACCGTTTTATTCCTGAATACGGAAGTTCTTCCCATCAACCTTTGAAGCTGACAGCTGCTGAACTTTGGCGGGTGTGTGTGTGGCCCAGTGCAGAGCTGCACAGGGGTCAGAGGATGACTAGGACACCGGGCCTCTGTGCTCTCACTTGCCCCAGTGCTTCTGAAGATATGGGGCCCAGATTCTCTGTATTTCCTTTCAAAATACCCCAATTCCCTTCACTGCTGCTGATTCCTCCTACCTTAATGTCGCTACTGAAGTTAGTGAGTTTGTTACACCCAGCGATTTCCAGGTGGTAATTAGCCCATCTCAGTAGGAGGTCCTCTGGCGAGAGTTTCATCAAATCCTCCAAGTTCTCTCCTTCTCTCAAAAGAGCAATCAGAGCTGAGGAAGCACAGACACAACAAAGAAAAATAAATGCAGGAATTCAGAGGTATTGGGGTAGGTGATGGGGCAGGGTGGGTTGGGGGTGGGAGGATGAGGGAAGGTTCTTTAGGAATTGCACTGACCTCTGCTGGAAGCCAAAGGAATTGAATTATTTCTCTGGGGCAGGACTTCCCCATGGTAGGAAGACCTTAATATATATCCCCTAAAAGAGTTGTACTACATTCATGAACTTATTTATTAACGCCATATTTTAGTGGGGAAGACAAGGCACCAGCATATCTTAAAATTATGCCTGAATAAAAAAAACCATGGTAGAACCACAGAAAGAGCCAAGGCTATTGGCTCAGAATGCTGAGTGCTCCAGGCCATGCTTTCATGATATGGCAACATTTTCCCTTTTAAGAGATCAATTGTAATAATGACAATGTCTTTTTGTCTATTCCCATAGGAGTCTTATATTTCAAATGCTTGTCTGCATAATTATAGCAGCTCAAAAAATGTAATCAACTCTTTTCTCTGTTTCCTCGGGTGAATAAATACTTTTTGCTCTACTGGAAGGTTTAAATTTAGCTAGGGTCATTATTTGCGAATCAATATTCCTTCCTGTGAGTTCTAAGTTTCTCAATTTGCTTTCCTCTTCTTTTTAACATTTTGTTTAATATATTAGTTTAACAATGGTAATGGGGTCCAGTGATACAGAGAGATAAGATGCTTGCCTCGTATGTAACTCACCCTGATTCAATCCCCAGCATTACTTATGGTTCCCTGAGTAGTGTCAGGAATGATAGAACCAAGAGTAACCCCTTGGTTAGTTGGAACATTGCTGGGTGTGGCCCAGAAACCAAAATTTAAAAATATTAAATTTTAAAAAATTGTGATTTGGATACACACACATTACATATCTCTATATACATCTAGCTCTCTATTGCATATACAAATTAGAATTTTACTGCAGAATTTGTATTGGCACAGTCTGCACCTGAAAACTAAAGAGTTATATTGTGCTTTTTATCAAAATCAAACATTTCTGTCTAAAGGGTCAGCTGCAATTTAAATGCAGCAGGGACGCTGAGAGTACATAAAGACTTGCAGCTACATAACTGAGACCTTGGAATCCAAACATTTTTCTATGGCCTTTATAAAAAGACACTCAGTTTCTCCTAACTTGGTGCAACCACGGCAGAACAAAAATGTGAGTCACTTAATATAATGCAAGTCTGAAATAGTCAAACTGCAGGCCATGGGCAAGGCTCAGTGCTCCTGTGAGGTTCTTGGATTGGAACCCGGCACACAGAGAGTCTAATTGGCTACAAAGCCTCTAAAGGCAGATTGACGGTGGAAAAACACTTGAGGTTAGAGTGCCAGACAGCTACACTCCTAAGCAAGCATTATTGTTCATCTGTGGTCTTAAAGAGCTTTTGCTGTCTTCTGAAACATCTGGTCAGTGCAGATAGGATCTGTTACATTAATACAATGGATTCAAAGTACCCGCATTACAAAGACCCTGCATAGTTTTTAAAAAGTGAGGGGTTATGAGTTGACATTTTCCTGCTACAGCCCCCCCACCCCCACCCCGTGATGAGTATTAATAAAAGGCCTTACCATCACCATTTGGGAGTCAGCTCTTACCTTCATTTCTGCTGAGTTCAATGTCAGCAAACAGTCCAATCTTGATGACTTGCCACAGAAGCCCCAGCACCAGGTAAGGTTTGCCTTCTTTTAAGTCTTCAGCCCCGATGTTAACCACGTGGCATCCGATAGCTGAGGCAGAGTTCAGAGCCAGGTTCAGATTTTCCTGAGGGAGTAAAAGTATGAACAAAAGTCATTAGAAGAGAAGGAAGTCCAGTAATCCAGACACTGGGCTTCAAGAGGGCCTAGGCAGTCAAAATAGAACCCTGAGTGGAATATCCATGATGGTCAGGATTGAAGCTAATGGGAGCTATAATTTTCCATCTTTTCTGTGGGAAGGTCTATACCTAAGCTTTTGCATCAGCCAGAAACACTGGGGGCACCTTTGAGAGCAGTCAGTGTCTTGTCACTGGCTACTATTAGTTACAGAACTGCTTATGTGACTCAATATCATAAAAGAGAGTAACAAAATAGCTTTTGACCTTCAGAATGGCTATTTTAAGGAAATGGCAAAAATACAACCCAAATTGCTGGAAAGGATAGCAGAGTTTTTACTAGGACAATTCATTGAATATCCAGACTAGCTAGGGAATTTAAGTATAAAGTCACATACATAAACCCACACATAGAGATTTATATGCTCTTCCATTCAACCAACAAGAAGATTCGTAACTATTATATACTTGGAATAGAGTCAATACAATTTTCAGTCTAGAATCGCTATACTTTTCTTGGGTCCATGAAGAAAATATCAGAGTAGTAGAGGCAGAGAAGTTTTTGTTGTTTGTTTTAAATGACAAATTGGAAACAACAAAACACAGACCACCAGTGATGGGAAGGAAACTATCAGAAGAAAAGTGCATTTACTGAAATCAAATGTCATGAGTAGATTTAACTTTGAATATATCTCTATACATTACATGGCTGCAGTCTCTTTGGTCACCATTCTCCCTGTTAAAAGCACTTAAGGTTAAATATAAATAGGATGTCATATTCTACTGTCATGACTGAAGAAGTGAGGCACAGTTGTGGAGAAGAGAACGACAGCCACAGTAAGATACTGAAACATCACATAAAACTACAGCTTACTTACTGGAGTTTACTGTCCACTTTACCCACAAACTGATGGAAGTAAAGCAAGCTCTACTTATTACATCCAGGCTGTGGCCAACAGGCCAACATGCTATGAAGGCTCCCTGAGCTTCCTGTTTACACCTCCTCACTTCTTAGAAAGGTTTGCTTATCTTCTCAGCTAGCATGGTACATACTTGGCATTAGGTCAAGTGTGTGTTACTAAAGGACGCTTGCATTTAAACTTTGACTAAGATGAATTGTATTCAGAAGTGGCCACAGTGTAAGTGAAAACATAAGTGACCCACCTACTAATATCAACCAACCATCTCTTCTCCCCTGCTCCACCCACTCTAATTCATTAAAACCCAGAGAGTCCCTCTATCTCTGTTAATGACAACAAATCACCACCTAGTGGGTGTGTGTGGGGGAGGGGGGTAAGGGAGAGATGTTTGAGCACCTGACAAATGCTGTTTATAGAAACTAGAAACAACTGACTCAGTACCCACATGCTCACCTATTCAGAGTACAGTGAGGTAATAGAAAGGAGACAAACCTGTATGGTGAATGGGGTGAGTTTCTTCTTGTTGATCGTTCTCTCATCAATTGTGTCTGGCACTGATAGGTTGATCATTTTACTGGAAGAGAAACAGTTAAATGAGAGATCATGGGACTTCTGAATACCAGAACCCAATGACACAAATTAAATTCGAGAGTCCAGGAAAATAGGTTAAAAGGCTGGAGAACATACTTGATCCCCAACCCTGTATGATTCCTGGAGCACTTCCAGGAGCTGTCCCCAAGCACCAAACCAAGAGTAGCCCCTGAGTACTGAGTCATAGCACAAAACACACCGCAAAATTAAACATTTTGTTTTGTGTCATAAGTTTTGTTTTGTACCAGACAAGCAAGCAAGATGGTGACATAGCCTGTGCCACCTGATTCTAATTATGAAATCGGTTGTACATTCTGACTCTATTTCAACAGTCCATGGGAAAGGTTCATATTCCTGAAGTCATACTACTCACCTCATGACTAGTATATTGAGGCAGAAAATAAAGATTGTACTTTACTTATTTACCTAAGCAGTTGTAAAACTATCCTTATTCCTTTATCATATTAGGAAACTCTTGGTACATGACCAAAGCAACTTTTTTTTACTGTACTTTATTTCTTAGTTCATGAAAGTGGTCCTAGTCTAGCATATAGATAAGCTATGCATATTTGAGAGTACATAATGTTTATATTCCTACTAGACACACAGCCAAACTCTATACATGATATATATATATAGACATATAAACATGATATATATATATATATATATATATATGTAAAAGCTATCATTATAACCAGGTTTGTAGGGGGGAGATATGACTTTCCAGTCATTCATGCAGTGTTAGCTCAGTGACCTGGGGTTTGGGGAGGTAAAGAAGATTAAAGAAGCCAAGGGTCTTGGGGGGAGGTTAGGTGCCAAACTAAGGATTCAGGAGTTGATTCTGTAGACCAGGATTCTGATACATTTTCTAAGCAGCTGAAGTTTTAAAATAGAAATCTCATGGTGAACTTGAATAAATAAAATATTTAAAGCAGAACTGCTCTACACAGAGCAAGGGCTCAAATTGGTACCAGCACAATCATCCTTTCAAATCCTGAGACAAAGTATTTCAAACCTCCTCACTAGCACAGTGTCTTACAGCAACAGAGAAGCTGCTGAAGTCACATCTACGGAGGCATTGCCAAAGCCATCGCCTTGAATTGACCAACTGTATTAGAAGTTTCTGATGAAGAGAAAATGCCTGTCATCTTTCTGGTGTTCTGTAAAAGTTAGATATTTGAGTTATATATTTTAGGAGCACCACTTAAAGGTCCATTTACTTAAAGACTTTCCTTGAATTGCTTCAGTTATCAATGATCAAATTTCAATCACCAAGCTGCTAATCTCAAGCATCTCTGCTTTCATGATTGGCCACCAGCGATAAAGCACAAGGGCATCTACTCAAAAAACAATGGCTTTTGCTCTTTCTACATCTCTAGCTTGTGCTTGTTTGTGCTTATATCCATACTGGCTTTCCTCTCCTCTACCTAAGCAATGGTGGATTTTCGTTCTTATTGTGACTTGATTTTGAGAGAACTTTGCTTTTTAAGGACAGCCAAGGGTATGTTTAGAGCAGAGTTTTTCAGCCAGGAGGCAGATGGCTTCCTGTGACCCCAGCATACTTGAAAGGGGGTCACAGGTTAAAATCAAATTAGTGAAGGGTTACATCACAAAACTAGAGGGTCAATTAACAGGATGGGCTGGGGTGGAGGGGAAGATAAGGAAACAAGGTCAGAAAGAGCCCACGGTAGGAAAGAGGTTGAGGAACACTGGTCTAGAGAAGCATTTCAGGTTCAGCTCAGCATCAAGGCCCCACATAAATACAATTAAGATACTGATTACTTGTCAATATCCTAGAAAATTTAAGGAAAATCTTTGGAAACTGAAAAGAAAGTGGCATTTACCAAAGGACAATGCCATCCCCAACAGCATTGAAGAGATCATCTGTATTTGGATTCATCGGGATGACGTGCTGACAGTCAAGGTCATTTTCCAGGGCTTTGTTTATCCAGTTGACAAAGGCATACTTCTCTTCCTCTGCAAATAAATGATTGAAATGATTTATTTGCAAAGTGAAAATGTGATATAAATAAAATCATACACGTGGGTCTTATATTCTCAAGCCTAGGAGAGACAATGCAAGGTTAGCTAGTCCATTATTCAATCATCATACATTTATTGACATTTAAAAATCTTAGCTGACATGGGAAATATGCACAAAATTTCTGTTCACTCCAAGTCATAAAATATACAAAAAGAAAGATAGGTCAAAGGGCTGAGTATATGCTTTGTATGAGAGATGAGTCCTGGGTTCAACTCCTGGACACTGCCATGACTGATCCCTTAGCACCAAGCCATAAGTAGTTCCTAAGCATCACCTTGAGTGGCCCCAAAACAATCAAGCAAACAAAAATATAGCAGACTTAAAGAGTATATGTAAATATATCATTTTAGAGGAAAAAATATATATTTATGAATATATTATATTATATATAATAAAATCATTTTTATATAATTTAAACATCAACATAGCCCAATATGGGTTAAAAAAGTCCTGTCAATTGAAATGTGGAATGAATAGGCAGTGGTAGAGCACACACATTACATGTTTAAACCCTGGCAACACACACATTAAAAAAAATAAATAAACAAACTTAAAATGTGGGAATATTGATCAATTCTTGTTTTGTTGTTGTGCCTCTTTACTAATTGTAATAAACTGCTATGAATTCCATGTTATAATCATTCTCCCCAATTTGTAAAAAGGCCAGATGTTGTTCTAGAAATTTTAATAAAATATCCTCCAGCCTAACATCTTGTTTCTCAAATACCATGTCATTACACACAACAGTGTCCCACAAATGAATTGTGAGTCACGAAATTTTGAAAAACAGGGCTATAGTATATCACTGTCTTACAGATTCATAATGCACATTTCTACTGTCTTTGAAAAAATATCTGTATTTAAAATTTTATTTAATTATTTAAAAGCTAAACTTTGTCTTAGCAATTATAGACTTAAGAGCAAATGTATCTTGAAGAATAAGCACTGTTTGGAGAACTAATTTTGGAAACTGTTGGATTCCTGTTCTGTTCGGAAATTTCCATGCAGTCTCTTGGATAGCAGCCATCAACAGAAATACATAACTTTCCTTCAAATCAATAAAAAACCATCTTTGGCTCATTTAGTACTGCATTAAGGATGATCATGAAATCTAAAGGCAAATGCCTGAATAGCAAATTTTTGTTCTTGCTTTGTTTTGCTTTGAGAGTTTTGGACCTTACCAGGTGGTGCTTGGAAGCTCCTCCTGGATTGGTGTCAGGGACCCTCCCAGCAACGGTGGTGTTGGGAACTGAACTGGGTCAGCTGAATGCAAGGTGAGTGCCTTTACTTCTGTAATATATCTTTGACTCATCCAGAAGATCTACTAATAAGTTTTGGCATCATCAAATATAATTTCTAAAAGATGCAAGTGATCTTATTTGGTTTAGGACCCCGCCGAGAACAAGAATGGCTTTTCTACTGCATCCCTGGCATTGACTCACTGACACTCAGAATGGTTGAGAATATGTTGGTAGGAATAAATATCCCAGTGTGCCATTTAAATTTGAATATTGCCTTTAGACTATGTAACCGGAGAAGGCATGAGTCCTTTTCCCAGGCTCCCTCTGCACTTTCCCTCTGCCCTTTCCTCATACCAACACCGATCTTTCCCTCACTCCTCAAGCCCCTGGTCAACCTACCTGAGTATGAGTGCTGGGTGCCAACACTAGATTGCTCAGAGGTACCTCCAATGGCACAAATCCCTTCTTTCTTATTAATTGCTTTTCGAAAGGTCTTGGCGACCTCGGTGCTTTTTAGGCCATGAAAAACCTGCAAAAATACAAACCCATCGTGCTGAGTGAGTAAAGTCAGAAGGAGAGGGACAGAATGATCTCCCTCACATGTAAGGACATGAAGAAACATAGTTTGGGAATAATAAATAGTCAAAGGCAACAGCACCTGAGAGCTGGTCTGCAGCTCTGGGATTCCCAAGAGTGAAGGCTGGGGGAGGGGGGAAGGGAGGGGCCCTGGGACAATGTGGAGGGAAGTAGACTCTCTGTGGATGGTGTGGTGTTGGAAAGTCACATTCCTGAAAACCCATCATGAATAGTATTGCAAATCACAGTACCCCAAATAAAAAAAAATTAAAGGCGGATCAAAGAAAAACCCAATCTGTTGCCAGAAAAAGACCCTGCCATGTTGAAGCTTAGAGTGGTCATATGGATTTCTGGGTATTTTCCAAATAGGAGTAAAGTCCCAAATTTCCAAAGCATCTCTATGTATTATAACATGCTCACCTTGATAAACTCATCAAAGCTGATCTTCCCATCCTGGTCCAGATCACCTGTTGCCATCAGGTTTTCTGTAATTTCTCTTACTCTGTATCCAGGCAGAGGCAGGCAAGCAGCCTTGAACAAGTCATTCAACTCATTGCAGCAGATGTAGCCGTTACCATCAGTGTCTGGAAGGCAAAAGGCAGCTGAGATATCAGGGAAATCCAGGCAACAGCAGGAAGAAAGGTGAGAGAAGGCAGGGGCGGATTGTGGTAGGGTGGCTGAGAACATGGGCCAGAGATGGGGAGGGGGGCGGGGAATTATGTTAAGGATGTGAGGATGACCCCATACAAGCATCAGAGTATGAATCTTCAAAGAGACCTGTTGTTGTCACATAGAGATTTGAGTTTTATTTTTTGTTTATTTATTTGGGGTAACATCTGGTGGTGCCCAGGGGTTACTCCTGGTTCTGAGCTCAGGGATAACTCCTGGTAGGCTTCCGGGGGTAGGGGCGGCAATGTTGGACACTATGGATGCCAGGGACTGAACCAGGATCAGCTCTGTGCAAGACAAGTCCCCATCCACTATACTATGGCTTCAACCCAGACTTCAGCATAATTTGCAGCAACCAAGAGTTTCAAAATAAGTTCTCAAAATAAAAGTTCTGTCAACAGACTCTGAGAAAATTCTTAGAGAAATAGACGCATAAAGAAGTCACAGGCTTAGAAATAAGGGGCAAGAAAAGTATGGAGTAGTAACAATGAAAACAGACAAAATAGAAAAGTTGAGGGTTGGACACTATTTCTAGGCATAGCCACAGGTGAGAAGGGGTTAATAGCTCACATTTTGATTAAGAAGCCATTTTATTGAAGCATAGCTTTTAAAAAATTAAATTGCTCCAGTTTCTGTAATCAACCTCCTCACCCCATAATTGCCACTTCTGCTAGTTTTCCTGCTCCTATTCCCATGTTTACTGCAAATGTCCTGAAGTTACTTAATAAAGTGGGGAATGTTACTCACCAACTTTGGCAAAAGCTTCTCTGAGCTCCATCATTTCTTCATCAGACACAGATCCTCTAGCCATTTTTGTTTATTGCGTTAAACAGTAGATCTGCAGAGAGGAGAACATGAGAAATGACTTGTATATCCACATTCTTAAAGGCCCATGTGAAGAAACAGTCCTTTGTACCCCTGATTTATAACTATCTTTCCAAAATGTAAGAAATGGCCTTTTACTGGGACCAGAGAAATGGTACAGTGGGTCGGGCATTTACCTTGCACACGGATGGCCCATGTTCAATTCCTGGCATACTATATAGTCCCCTGAGCCTGCCAATTGTGATTCCTGACTGCAGAGTCAGGAATAACAACAACAACAACAAGAGCAAAAAGCTATTTCCTTAACTCTGCACATGGTGATCTCCAAACATCTTTCATCACCGCCTACCCATTCTGTGACTACAGCCTTTCTCACTGGGCAGGGAGGAGTGTGTTTTCCTTGCCTTGACTGTGGGCAGGGCCTGCGACTGCTCTGTCCATGGTGATGGCTAGACAAGTCCATGTTTGTGACCGGAAACTTGTGCTTCATCTCTTATGGAAAGCTCTTTTTGGTATTTTGCCCCTTGGAATCTCCTTTGAGACGGTGGATAAACCACACAAAGAAATGCTGGATAATCATTGCCCAAAGCCAATCCGGTTGGCACCTTTGACTTCTGTCCAGTGGGGGTCAAGCACAGAGAATGAGACAAACTTAGAAGAACTATCCAAGCTTTAGGTCCTCCCGGGTAGCCAGCAATGGTCTCACTGCAGGCAGCAAAGGCCATTTATTCAATACAACATCACTCCCCTCACTCTGACTCCCACCCCTGAGCCTCTGTTCAAGTTTGCAGAGACACTGAGAACAGTCCATAAGCACATCAACATTCAGAGGGAACACGAAGAGTAGAGGCTGGGTATTTCACATTGCTGAACTGCAGGCACCCTTAGAGCATAAGGCTGTGATCATTTCCATTCTACGATTGCCCATATTTCCCTCTACATTTAGAAGACCCTAAAATGTTTTCATTCTATTCTTTCCTGGATGTATGATGCATGTTTGCTACCCATTTATTTCTATTCTCAGATCTATGCTATTTCTGTCCAGGGGACCACCCCTACCTTGGGGGTGGGTTTTTGTTACGGGGACGATCTCCCACAGATCATGTCTGCTGAGACCCCAGTAGAAGAGTCAGCATAAGTGCTAGCCATCTCACATAGATCTTTGGAATGTTCCAGCCCTTTGGAGCCTCAAAGGTTCCTAGTCCCAGCTAATGACATGTGGAGCAGAAGAAATGACCCTACTGAATGCAGCTGACCAACAGAATCCAGACAACGATTGTTTAAACTAAATGCATTTGGGAGTAGTTAGTTATACAATATATAATGTTTAAATTATAAGAAATGTTTTATTTAAATTACATAAAAATTTTTAATGAGATGATTTGATGCTTACACGTAAACTGAATGTTTATTGAAGCAAACAGGTATATTTTTCGACTTCAAGGGAGTTAGCTTTACAAGCATTCATGCTAATGTCTTAGTCATACTATGCTCGAGTACCCATCCCTCCACCAGTGCCCGTTCTCCACCACCAATGTAAGTCTGTAACTGTACCTCATGGTCATTCATTAAAAAATTTAAAAAATAAATAAATTTGAAAAAGTACATTAGGTGCCTTCTTGCTTATGAAGCATCTGAGAAAAATGGGGGGGGGGGAGTTAGCAAAGTTCCCTAAAAATGTAGGGAAGGTGAAAGGGAAGCCAACCCTCTAATAATCCATTTATGGGAATCTAAGGGATGTAATTTTAGGTGTTCTCAGAAAGGCAGCGTTGATCTGAAACTAAATGCCAGTGCTGGAGTAATTTAATTCCCCCATGCTCACTGCTGCCCTATAGAGGGTGGAAAGAGAAGGAAAACAGAAAATGCATCATTTTCCACACTTTCAGCTATTCCATACCAGGAGATTTAAATAGGAGCTCCCCTTAAAGTTTATTCAATTGCCTGATGGGAAGGAGACATGTAGGGTGAGAGTACGGAGATTGGGGTAGCTTGTATAAATTATATTTTGGGTATTTTAGCAACATTATTCATTTAGAAATATTTTAAATCTGTTACAGGATGGGTTTTTTTTTTTGTTTTGTTTTGTTTTGCTTTGGAGGATCATACGTGGCGATGCTCAGGGGGTTACTTCTGACCCTGCACTCAGAAATTACTCCTGGCAGTGCTCAGGGGGCCATAGGGGATGCCAGGGATTGAACCCGGGTCAGCCTCATGCAAGGCAGGATGTTGTTTTATCTGGATTTCCTTGTCTACATTTTCACAGTATTTAATAGTTGTGTAATTATTCTCACTGGCAACCGATAGTCACAGAAAAGGAACACTTCTCACACTAAACCTGTATAGGCCAAAAGTTTTTTACACTTGATCAGGCCAATCCATACCCATTGTCCCCAGCTCATTGTCCTGTCATGTATTAGTGATTTCAAACTTCTGTTTTTCCAAGAAACTCTTTGTTCACAGACACCTCAGAGGTAAGTAAAAGTGAACAAACAGGACTAATGTTATTCAATGGTAGAATCTTGCCATCATGGGTGAGGTCCTGAATTCCATCCCTGGTACCCTTCCAACCCATCAAGGGTAATATACAAAATAATAGCTCAGAGAGTTTTCAGCCAAAACTTCAGATGTCCTAGTCTCCACTACTGCAACTCCTGGTAACATTATACATAGTGGTGGGGGCTGTCTAGAGAACTTGATCAAAATAATCATAGCATTATATCCATTATTATTCCATTAATTTAAAATATATTTAATTACCAATAAAATGTTGTTTTATTATTATTTGACTTACTGGTCCACTGGGATCACCGAAGGAAGGTAGGAATTGTTTCAATCTTAATTGTATAATGAACACAATCTATTACATATCAGACTAATCCTGAGGCACAAATACTAGTTATGCCGTTATTTCACTTTCCTCCTCTATTTTTTTAATCTTTCTCTGTCTCCCTACATCCTTTTATTTTTTCTCTTTCTTTCTCTTCACCCACCCCTCCCACCCTACACCACGTATTATTCCAAAACAGTCTGATCCAGGTTGCAGATACATATCCAAATCTCAGGACTAAAGCAACAAAATTTTTGTAGCCAATGTAACCAGTTGAGAACTAAGCAGTGCTAAAGTTAAGATGATGGCAGGAGAGAGATTTATGATCAAATACATGGTTAAGCCAATGCCTTTTTCTGAAGTAGGCTGTAAATCTAGTTTGTATACACAAGTTGTTTCTTCTGAGATCCTCAATAGCTCAGGAAAAAAGCACCTCATGGAATTTGAGACATCACACTGCAACTCAAACAGCTAGGCAGAGGAGCAGCGTGGATGCCAATTCTCAAGTGTCTGACCATCTATTCAAGTTCAGTACCTTCACCTTCAGTGAGACCCTTTTTCAGTTATTCATTTATGCCCTATTCGCCTTCTCAGCAATGATTCATCATGTGTATGTAGTCTCTGTATATAGACAACCCAAGGAAGATTTTGGAAAAGCTGTGATATAGAGTATTTATCCGGGTGCTAGTTTAGGAAGCTTTTGTTTTCCAATGTTAAGAAATCAATGCTTCTATTGTAAGAACTAGAGTATTACTTTGTGCACCTTACTAAAATCTAGTGATTTATTTTCTTGGCTATCTTTTAATCCTTTCTCCCAGTACTCCATAAATAAATTCAAAGAAGACTCTGCCCCACGGTATACTAACCATTATTGATAAAATCTGTTTCAAAGAGCCCTAGGACAGGGAGAAATTTTTCTTTTTGGTTATTGGGTCACACCTGGCAGTGTCCGGAGGCTGTTCCTGGCTCAGTGCTTGGAGTCACACCCCGAGGGACCATGCAGTGCAGTGGACCCACCTGGGCTTCCAACACACTTTGTCTGCCTGACATGTGCTTTAGCCCTTCGAGCCATCTCTCCAGTCCAGGCTGGTATTTCTTGTCTTTAGGCTTGTTACTCTTCTTGGTTCATGGATATTCATAGGATTATGAAATAAACTTATTCAGTTAACATCCATTTTGCGAATGCCTATTGTATCCATTTATTTATGTTGGGGGTGGGTCCACACCTGGGGAGCGGGCATTGGGCTCCATTCCCAGCTCGGTGCTTGGGGCTCACTGCTTATGGTGCTGGGGGATCATATGTTGCCAGGGACTGAACCAGCAATGACTGAATTATAGGCAAGTGCCTTAACCCCTACACCATGCAGTTCTGTGTACCTACTAAATGTCTACATGGATCTAGTTACTCTAAAAGATGAAATAAAGGGGAAGACAATGACAGGGTCTCTGAGTCTAAACTCGGCCCTATCCTCAGACATAAAGGTGTTTTGATTATACAGTACTGTCGGAGTGTAGCGAAGAATATAAGTACAGGCAGGGAACAAACTACATTGTCAGGACCAAGAGCAGACATAAGGAAGGAAAGGTTCTAGTACAAGGTTAAAAAAAAAGAGATTCTAAAGATGATGTTATACTGGAAAAGAGAAGAAAACATGATAGCATAAAAATTGAATGACCCAGGTAGTGGAGACATAATACAGGGGTTGGGCATTTGTCTTGCAAATAGCTAACTTGAATTTGATCACGACACCCCAAATGAGCCCCACCAGGAGAGATCCCTGAGTGAAGAGCCAGGAGTAACACTGGGTGTGATCTTAAGACAAAACTGCACAGCCCATTCAAATAAAAAACAACTTAAAAACATCAATCTTTAATTCAGTAAAAAAAGCAGGTATTTTAACATGTGTGGGAGGCAGGTAAAGATGAAAAGAAATCTTGAGAATTTTGATCAACACAACTCTCTAAGAGATTCATCAATCTCTCTACACAGAGAAGCCAAATAGTGAGCCTTCCAATTTTACACATTCAAAATTCTTCCATGATTTAATAGTCAACGGAATCAGAAATACAGCGAACTCACTTAAAGGTAAGTTGGGAGGACTGAAGGGGAGCTTGACAGGCAGAGCACATACTTCGCACAGAGCAGGCTCAGGTGTGATCTCCAACAGTACATAGTCCCCTGAGCACAGACAGGAGTGATCCCCCCTTCCCCAAACACCACCGGATGTGGCAACAAAATAAACAAAAATGTAACTTGGAGAAGGAATTGTCAACAACTTAGGTTAGTGTAATACTGTACTTTTCAGTTTTAGGCCCCCAAACAAATATCTAGAGAGAGACTCCAGAATAAGCAGTAAGTCCTCGAAACATAACCCAACTATGAGAGAGGAATCTAATAAATAATTTCTTATAAGTCCCACATTTTAAAGATAAGGAAACTGAAGTTCTAAGGAAATGAACTGCTTCTTCTCCTTATAAGCTCTCAGTGCAATGCCAGGCTAGAGTTTGGAAATGTAGTTGCTGGTGAATAGAGCAGGAAATGAATGGAGTTACCATTAAGAGGGCCATTAAGACCCATAGCTGAGAAAAGACCTTTCAACTAATTGACCTGAAGTACAAACGGCAGCATTTTCACAAAGTAGAGAAGCAGAAAGAGAAGATGGTTAATGCAAAAATATGCAGATCAGAAGGTCACTGTTAGCATTAGAATGAAATATTAGGCATTTTTTTATAGTCTATTATGTTTGCTTGGAAAAACATAGCCAATTTAATTCAGGCACATTTGGAAGTATGGGTTATCATAATGCTCTTAAGATTCATAAGGATAATTGGCAAGGGTTTCAGTTGGCAAATTACGGGCACCATAGTGGGTGTGGACTCTTGGGAGTTCCCAGCAGAAAGAAGATGTGGTTGTGGAAGGAATGCCCCTTCCCGGGTATGAATGAAGGGCTCCTGTAGCTATTCTCAACTCTCTCTGCTTTAAACAGGGCCTCTCTGCATCATCCAACGATGCCCTGCCAGGAACCGTTTTAAAGTTGCTCACAAATTGGTGGATTCTGGAACCTTGTTTCTGAATCACTGCCCAAATCATAAATCTAAGATGACAAATCTTAAACCAATCATTTAAGTCACATCTGGCCTTCAGTTACTCTGTGAGCACTTAAATTTATTAAATCAATAGTTATTCAATCCCAAGACATTTGGCTAAAGTAAGAACCAGTTGTTCATTTTTATAAGATTGTTTTTGAAGCCACAAGAAAATCAAATAATCTTCCACTCCAAACTGCAAAAGCCACAAAACATGTTCATTCCTTTGAGTTCAAAGAGTTTTTGAGTCTACTTGAAGGGGATTTTATTTCCCAGATAGATATGAAAAAGAACTTCTGTAAATGACTTCTTTTAAGGAAATCACCTGATTCCTGTTTCCCGAAAAATGAATATAGAAACTACTCAAAAGAGTTTACTATAGCACACAGTACTACAGAAGAAAAGGATAGTCCTAAAGTAAATATAAAATAAGATGAACTTTCTATGGAATTTTTATAACTGATCACGAATTGCAGAAAGAAGTAGGAAGGCTCACAACCTGGAACTGTGTTTGAAAGTGGCTATGGTGTGATTATTGTGGCATATTGTGGTATATTCATTCAATATAATGATACCTAGTTATATAACCACCAGGATGAGGGTGGCATCTGTAAGCTGGCATCATGTTGCCAAGGGACTCTTGAATCTGTCCTACTTTCCCCGTTAACACTGGGTAAAGAACAACTGGAAACTCAGGACCAAATTCCTAGCTTTACCTCCATCATTCCAGGAAGAAATTGAGTAGCTTTCAAAAGGCTCTGTGTGCAGTGTGTAGACCCAAACAAGTAATGTAGAATGCCAATGAGAATGCCACTGCAACCTTTAGTAAGAGACTCTGGGGACAAAAGGAATAAAATATAAAGCCCACAGAACTTTGGGACAAAAACACTATGAGTACCTCTAAGATTTATTCCCTTCTCTGCCCCAAGTAACTCCAAGCCTTCTGATAATGTTAGAGTAGTTAGAAGGAATTTTGCATTCAACTAACCCTGTCTCCATTTTACAAAGAAGATCATTCTAGGGGCTCTAACTAGCAGTAATTCTCTCAGCTGTCCCAAAGTTTTGCATGAAAGATGATTCAGCAAATGTTCTTTCGAAATGACTTTGCTGGGTCTGGGGAGACAGCACATGGGTTAGTCCAGTGAACCATGTGCCTGACCCAGGTTTGATTTCTGGTACCCCATGGCCTCCTGAGCATCAGCAAATGTAGCCCTGGAGACCTCCAAGCACTAGCAGGCCTAGCCCTAGAGGCATCTGTGCTCTGCAGGATGGTTCCCAACATGGCAGGATGAATGAGCCCCTAGATTGGTTAGCTCAGTGTCATTGAGAGTGATCCCTGGGCCCCCTGAGCACCACTTTGGAGTCTCCCTTTTCCCACCTCCTCAAAATGACTTTGTTTTCAAGATACCAAATACTTATACATGACCTGAACCATAGTCTACTTCTTGATTGCTTAGAACCAAGGTCTATTCTTGCCTGCTCAGGTGTATTTTATCCAATAACAATCTCCTTGGGGACACGGCTCAAAAGATAGAGTGCAGGCCTTGCAGGTGTGAGGTCCTGGGTTCATTCCTAGCATCACCTGTCTCCTCCCTAGCTCCAAGGACTGTGGCCCTGGGGCCCCCAGCACCACTGGCTCTGACATTGAACCATCGGGGCTGCAGGGCTGGGGAAACCCCACCTTTCACCTCCTGGTAGTGCTTTGAATCATTTTTCTCTATATATAGAGTAAGTCTTCTCCCCAGGGCCGCTTCTGCCCCAAGTTGCGCTCTGCAGTCTTTGGGGGAAAAGTGCAGGGGAAGACAGGGGAGGCGATTCACAGCCAGACTCTGAGCTCTTCTCTCACTGCCTCCTGGATCTCGCTTGGGGTGGGTGACCACAAACCAGGGCCTACACCTCGCTCCTGGCACTGTGTAGACTGCTCCCCCGCCCTGGGATTGGTTTCAGAAGCTGCGGGGAGCACAGCCCACAGAGCCCAGCCTGTCACCAACTGAGAAGTCCGCATGTCTGCCTCCCCACCCAGCAGAGTCCCATGATGTCTCTGCTGTCCATCCACTCACACAGTGCCATTCAGGGTGTGGCACTGAACAAACCTCTTATAGGCACAGCAGGCAACCCAAGCTGGGGGAAAGTTCTGGAAAGTTCTTCCATTGCCTTAGCACCTCTAGGGATAAGGGGTAATCTTTCAAAAATTACTCTCCACTGCATATTCAACCACAGAGATTTTTTTTTAATGTGGCAACTTCTATTTTATTTATTATTTTATTTTATTTAAACACTGAGATACAGTTTCAAAGTTGTGCATGATTGGGTTTCAGTCATACAATGTGTCAACATTTGTCCCTTCATCAGTGTACACATTTCCCACCACCAATGTCCCCAGTTTCTACCCTTCCAACCCCATCCGAATCTGTCTCTTCTGCAGACACTTTTCTTCTCTCTCTCTCTCTCTCTCTCTCTCTCTCTCTCTCTCTTTCCTTCTAGGTTTTGGGGTTTTCAATACAAGAATACAGATAGCAAAATGTTATCATGTATATCCCTTTGCCTACTTTCAGCTTTCAGCACTCAGTTCTTGTCCAAAGTGATCATTTCCAACTATTACTGTCATAGTGGTCCCTTCTCTATCTTAACTGCCCTCTCAACCACAGAGATCTTAAGCTCCAGAATTTACTCTGCCCAAAGCTCAAGGGATCCTCAATATAACTTTTCACAGAGCTGAGTAATCTTATGGGCCAATTGGTTAATTACTACTATTCAGTGTGAACAACATTCACTCCTTCCCATTTCCTTTACAGCCCGTGCAAAGCACTGCTCTGGTTGCTCATATTCACACACACATGGCAGTGTGGGGAGGTGCCACAAAGATGGAGATTTCTTGAAGCCCACCTTGAGATATCACGTTTCAAACACGACACAGCAGTTAAAGTGCCCTTCTCCAAAATGGTCAATACATGGGGGAAAAGGTTCTGAAGACCAAAAAATAAAAATGGGGCCTGGAATGCAGAAAGAACTCTTTCCTTGCAAATATGAGGTTCTAGGTTTGCTCTCCATCACCACATATGTAGCACCGTAGTGCTGTAACACTGTCCTCCGTTGTTCATCGATTTGCTGGAGCGAGCACCAGTAACGTCCCACAACAAATTGTGAGACTTGTTGTTACTGTGTTTGGCATATCGAATACATCATGGGGAGCTTGCCAGGCTTTGAAGTGTGGGCGGGATACTCTCAGTAGCTTGCCGGGCTCTCCAAGAGGGATGGAAGAATTGAATCTGGGTTGGCCACGTGCAAGGCAAATGCCCTACCCACTGTGCTATCGCTCCAGCGCACCACACATGCATGTAAAATAAATAAGTATGTAATTAAAAAGAAACAGCTAAAAGCAGGAATGCAGATCACAAAAAATTCCATACAAAGAGCAAGAAATGAGCATCAAAGCTTATCAGAACATTAAAAGAGCAGGCACCTAAATCAAGCCCTGCCAGGAAATTATTCAGACGGTTCAGACTCTTGCTTGACTGAGGAGAATGTAACTGGACACAGCAGCAGGGAGGGGACAAAGGTGCCAGCTTGGCAGTGGGGTGACCTCAGCTCTTACCAGGCTGTATAACCTCAGGCCTGCTGGCCCCACTGACCAAGCGTTTCTCATCTATAAATTGAAAGCAAAAGAACGTTCACATGCAAAGTCCCCAAACTCTACCTACCAGCTGACACGTGTGTGTGTACTTCAGAGCAGGTATATTTCAGATACTCCTAGAAATAAGGGCAGAGCCCACTGTCGCCTCAGCCCTGAGGGCGAGGTCCTGCTGACTTGACTCTGGAGGCATGTAGGCATCTCACAGCCCTGCCTGGGCCCTCCCTGCTTTTACCTGGGCAGTGAGGCAGTCCACAGGTATACCCCTTGCTGACCTAGCCTAGTGCCCACGGCTCAACTCCTGCTCGCGGGGAAGTGGCCACCTTGGCACGTGCGCTCCACTCACTTGGGGGTGCACCTGCAGCTTAAGCCATGCCGATCCAGATCCAGTTCACTATGAGCTTTCAGCCTGTAGGTAAAGTGTCCCAGAAAAGAGAGCCATCACCTACTATTTTCTTTAGAAATATCCAAATAAGGAAACCCTGCAACCTCTCTGGTGTCTCATATCCCTACTCTGTAACCCAAATCTTTTCTGATAGGATTAAAGTTCCCTCTCACTGGGGCTAGTCTCAGAGGGACTTAGAGAAACTGCTCCTCTCACAGAAATCCTGTCACATGTCTTGATGATGGCTACCAGTCCTTTCCTTTTAAAAAGGAATTCTTTCAGTCTGGTTTTGGGACTGATTTAGAAGTTGTTTTTTTGGGGGGGGTCTTCTGCATTGTGCTGTCTTCTGAACATCCCTTCAAGGAATAAATATAATAAAAATTACAGCTATGGAAATGGTTAAGAGATACACTGCTGCCATAAGTAGGGGCTTCCTGACTTTTTAATCTATTTTTGTTCTCTTAAATAATTTTCTGAATTCACCAAGGCCAGGAATATACTTCAATAGGCTAATCATAAACATAGCATGTGGGAGGCTCAGATTAAATCCCTGGAACTGCATGATCCTCTGAGCACCACTGATGGTGACCCCCAAGCACCAAATGGGAATAGCCTATGAGCACCACAGGGTATGGCCTCAACACCAAAAAACTAATAAAGGTCACAGCATGTGCTTGTCTGACCCTTCTTCTATAACAGAGTGAAATGACATCCCAGTTCAAGGACACATCCAACATCCCAGAGCTCACTGAACATATATATCTCTGGGACTGGAGTCCAGGCCTGCAACTTCTCTTTATTATATAAAAAGATCACAAAACCGAGAGAAAATGCTGCTCTTTAAGTAAGATACTTAAATACTTAAGGTATTCAGCAAATACTTCCCCATGATTTCAATTAACTTATGACTATAATTTTCTGCCTGTTTCCTGCACTTAAAGAAGGACTCTGTCTTAACATGATACTCTCTATGTTGATCCGCCTATATGAATATTTCATGACTTCATCTTTTCTAACAGCTGCATAGTATTCCATTGCGTAGATGTACCAAAGTTTCTTTAACCAGTCATCTGTTCTCGGGAACTTTTTTTCCCCAGATTTTGGCTATTGTAAACAGTGCCGCAGTGAATATACAAGTGCAGATGTATATTCTACTATACTTTTTTGCATCTCTGGGATTTATTCCCAGAAGTGGTATTGCTGGGTCAAATGGGAGTTCATGTTAAGTGAAAAGAGTCAGAAAGAGAGGGACAAACATAGAAAGAATGCATTCAGTTGTGAAATATAAAGTAACAGAATGGGAGACTAACACCCAAGAATAGTAGAGATAAGTACCAGAAGGATCACTCCACAATGTAGAAGCCGGGCTCACATGCTGGAGGAAAAGGCAGCTCAGATAGAGAAGAGACCACCAAGTAAAGGGTGCTAGGAGGACCCACTTGGGATGAGAGATGCGGGCTGAAAGTAGATTACAGACCAAACATGATAGCCACTTAATACCTCTATTGCAAACCACAATACCCAAAAGGAGAGAGAGAGCAAATGGGAATGCCCTGCCACAGAGGCAGGATGGGGTGGAGGGGGCAGGGTGGGGGTGGTGGGAGGGATGCTGGGATCATTGGTGGTGGGAAATGGGTACTGGTGGAGGGATGGGTACTAGATCATTATATGACTGAAATGCAAGCATGAAAGTTTGTAAGCCTGTAACTATACCTCACGGTAATTCACTAATAAAAATTTTTTAAAAAATTTTTAAAAAGTTAAAAAAAATGAACTCAGTCTAGGCGTTGAAGAGGTCCTGTCTAGGTCTTGGGTTACAAACATGTGCAAATGCTTTGGATGCTTTCTAGGTTACGAACATGCACGCAAGCACTGGGGGATCCCCCTGTTTCGTCTGTAGATTGATTCATCTGTGTATTGACTCTGGGCTGAGCACTCAGGCCCTGTGAGGTTCCTTAGCGACCAGAAAGCAAACAGATTCAAGTGGCTCAGCCTGAGATATGACAGCGTTCAAAAGATAAAATGGCAGGTTCTTTGATGAATACTAAAATGCCCCTTTCAGACTGCCCCAACTCTCAGCCTGGCTGCAGAGTCCAGGTTTCTGCAAGGGGGTGGGCAGCTGTGGGAGCCAGCTGGTGCTTCCTACACTGAGTACTGGTTCCCAGCTCCAGGGCACATCTCCTGAGGCCACACCCATCATCTCTCCGGGAAGATTCAGAACCCACATGCGGTGCATCAGCTCCCGTTGCAACCTCAGGTGCACAGTGGGAACTCTGAAAGTGATGAGGACAAGGACAGATGAACCCAGAAACAAATGATGTATAAAGCCTGAGAATTCAGTCCCCTTCTCTGAGTTTACCCCTAACACACTTGGGTACAGAGATAGAGAGATAGTACAGGAATTAAGGCACTTGCCTTGCATGCGCAAACATTCAACTCCAGGTACCATGCATAGTTCCCCAAGCACCTCCAGGTGTGATCAGTGATTCCTGAGCATAGAGTCAGGAGTACTCCTTGAGCACAGCTGGGATTACTGCGCATCTTACTGACTTACGAATGCTTAGAACAAGACAAGCAATGCTTTACATTTGCAGAAACCCCTTTGCTGGAGAAAAAGACTTTGAAGAACTGATTTGGGGGAGTCACGTGTTGCGAGTGTCTCCCAAGTCAGGGTTTCTTCAACTTTTTCTCTTGAAATCCCCTTCCACCTGAGATATACAGCATGGAAGGACTGCTAGCAAGCCCTTAGATTCAAATTGCGATTGATTTTGAATGCATATTTGGTTCTTGCTTATGAGAAATGTTTTGTGTTTGCCAAATGTTTTATGATACAATCCCCTAGTGGGATCAGGTCTCACAGTTTAAGAAGTGAGGACCCAGGCACCTTTCATTTTTCAAAAAAAAATTTATTTTTTTTAATTGAATCCCCATGAGATACACAGTTACAAAACTGTTCATGATCAGGTTTTAATCATACAGTGATCCAACACCTATCCTTCCACCAGTGTACCAGTGTTCATTTCCTACCACCAATGACCCCAGTTTCCTTCCCGCCAACCCCCTTCCTCAGTCCGCCTCTCTGGCTCTTTGACAGGAACTTTCCTTCTCTCTCTCTCTCTCTCTCTCTCTCTCTCTCTCTCTCTCTCTCTCTCTCTCTCTCTCTGTCTCTCTCTTCCTCTCTCTCTCCTCCCCCCACCCCCCTCTGGCGCTATGGTCTGCAACACAGATACTAAGAGGTTATCTATTTTCAGGACACAGTTCCTCTCCAGAGTGATCATTTCCAGCTATCTTTGTCATAATAGTCCCTCCTCTATCCCAACTCCCAGGAGTCTTTAAATGGACCCATTCAGCATACTGTGGGAGGATTTCATCCTGAGATAGTAAAGCCCAGAGCTTGGTTTCTTCCAGCTGTTTGTGTGAATTCTACTGAGCCTGGTCTGCTGGGGTCTGCAGTGGGTCTCTCTATATCTGACACTTGGCCCAGGGCCGTGGAGGTGGGAAGAGATCACCCAAGAAGCCAGCACAGGCTGAGAGGAGGTAGAACCAGTTGGATTGTTCAACATTATGCACAATGAAATACTATTCAACTACAAGAAAAGACAAAGCAATCATGCCATTTGCTTCTTATGTGGATGGAACTGGAGAGTATCATGCAGAGTGAGGTGAGTCAGAAGAAGGGGGCAGGCGGAACGATCTCTCTCAAATGCAGGATATAAAGAAACAGTAGGGGAATAACAAAAACCCAAAGGCAACCGGAGTTGAGCATGGGCATGGTCTTTAGTAGGAAGTTTATCAAAGAATAGTAGGGAGGATAGGATGGGGGATGGGGGAAACACCTAAGGCACTGGTGGAGGGCAGCTGGCCCTCTGGAGGATGGTGCTGGAACGTTTTATACATAAAACCCAACGAGTAATAGTATTGTAAATCACGGTGCCTAACATAAAATAAAGGCTTGCTCTTCAAGTCTGAGTTCTTTCTTGAATATGTATCTTGTTTGTTTGTCCATATATTTCTTTGCTTTATTCCGCCCTGAAGAAGCCTACTTTCTCTCTTGGACACAATCTTCCTCTTTCTCCCCCCTCACATTTTTCTAAGCAAGTTTCATTCAACAAAAACTATCTTACTTCACCAATAACAGCAGTAACAATAAAGTGGGAGAGGGTGGCGTCAAAGAGTATCAAGAAGGACATGGGAAGTCTTTTGGAATGGGTGATGGATTTCACCTCCATATAATTTGTATTTATCTAGGTAGACTATAAAATTTACCTGCCTGGTTGTTAGATGTGTGTTATTAAGTAAGTTCAAGTAGTGATCCATATATTTTCTTTTTTCAAAAACACATCTGCCAAAGTAAGCTATGTTGTGTATGGTGCAGAATCCGTTGCTGGTGACAAAGAGAGAAGATGGTCTTTGAGGCCAAGCAGAGACACTTTGTCTCTGAGACATAGGTAGACTTATTAGATCCAGAGGAAGAGGAAATTCACTTTCCCCTGGAAAGACAAACAAGGCCCCTTAGAGGAAGGAACATTTGGCCTGGATTTCCACAGTGATTGCTTAAAGAATAGCCTTTGCATCATTGCTGTAGGATGATTGATCCCTGCTCTTCCATAGAGCAAAAGGACAAAAGGAGAATAGCAGTTAATGTTGACAGAGTGCCCTCCCAGAGCTCAATGCCCTAAATGCCTGGTCATGTTTCATGCTTGCCACAGCCCCATGGAGCTGACAGTTGCTCCTGATACAGAAGGGAGCTAAAGTTTAAACGACCAGTCCAGGGTTGTACTGGTTGTACTACCATGAGCTGAGCACCCATTACTACATAGATTCTTTGCCGTCAGCCAGCAGGAATGCACAAGGACAAACCTTTCTTTGGCCACTGGCGCTGTCATGCCTGTATCTCAAGTTTCTTTGTTCTCATCAGAGCCCTTCATCTCTGACCTCATGTTCCTGCAAACACACACGCTCTTCTGGACATTTTCACTCAAGACTGCAGCTCTTCCCAGGTCAAACTGAGAAGTTGGAAATGTCTCTTC